GGCAGAAAGTCCTCACAAGGGTGGCCTAACGTCAAAATATGCAAAACAATAGCAAGACTTGCACCCACACACCTCCTTTATTATTCCACTGAGACGAATGAGAACAAAGGAGCAGCAGTTGCGATTAGTGAACGTACTCAGGATGGAAATTGGGAGTTGCACTTTTAACTCGTAGTATGATCATATGCAGACATATAGTATATAAATATATACATATTTGTGTATCCAAGCTGTGTCCCTTCCAAACAGCAAACATAAAAAGCCAAATCAGATTTGTTAGCTATATTTATTATTTGTCAGTTATTTTCCTGAAGTWAGGTCATAGAAAAACTTCCATTTGCTGGATTTGAAKATCCTTTTGTCTATCAGCTACCAACCTCTTTATTTTCAGTTTTTCCTCCAAAGACGTTGAGAAATAAAATTTTCCACCTCGTTTATGTTACTCTTTCTCACCATTGCACCTACTCAGGCTACACTAAAACACACCCACATGCACTGAGGCATGTTACTGTACGTCCAACCTAGCTGGCTAAAGTCTGTAGCCTTGGGTTGACCCTGGGCTGAACTAAATTCACCCCTATGAGCAGCAAATCAAGGGGGCATGACAAGACGTCTGTCAATCATTCTTTACCATGGAAGACTATAAATGAACGGGGCTGTGAAAAGTTAGCCATTTGGAAAGACTCTGGGATTTTCTCGAGACTGTTCAGCACCAGTTTTGTTTTAAATTTCACAAAATGTGATACGTTTTTTTTTATTTGTTTTTATTATGTAGTGCTTTTTTACCAGTTGTCCCTGGTTGTACGTAGGCTGTACAAGGTCCCTAAATGTATCACGCAACTGAACATTCAAAATTGAACGATTCTGTAATAGGATCGGATCCACAAGATCTAGCTTCCTTCAAAGAGATGTAAATCCCATCTCTAATAATGTAGTGAAATACCAAGCCACAATTAACTTTGTGCTTAAAAATCCAAAATATAATTTGTACATTTTTTTGTCTGTCTCACTTTATTCCGATCTTGACTGTTTTTTGAAAGGGTTATCACTGTCTCGATAGTTAAAAACAACAACCAATCTAAATTTGTTTTAAAAGAGTCCTTAACCGATCTAAGCGTGTTCCACCTTTGTCCTTTGAAATGTCATTAGTGTGGATATTCTTGGCATCTAGTGGTGCACATGGGCATTACATCATTTCATTAGCGTTTCGTTGACAAAGATAAAAATTAAGTTGGAGGAAAAATTTGTTTAAAAAAATATCCAGAGTAATGTACTTGAGGCTCACGAAGTAGGTCAATTTAAAGGAAACATTGACAGCTGCTATGAACAAAAAATAATATAAAAAAATCAAAGCACAAATTGTGATTTGTAAACAAATGGATATGAGGCAATTTTTGTCCCCTTACACTGGTTGACATCTACTAGTTATCTGGTGGGGTGTATGGTTACTGCAACCACACTTTATTGTGCATTATTGTGTTTAAGTCTGTTTTTCTTAGAGCACCTTATGAGTTTTGTAGTAAAAGTCCCTTAGTGGTGTCTCCTGAACAACTACTATCAATGCCACYGTGCCTTCTGTTTCAAGCACTTCCTGGTGTATTTTGTAAAACTCACCAAAAGCACTTAGCCGATATCTACACACTTTCTCTTATCGTTTTCTTCTATTTCTCTTCCCTTTGTTTGTCTCATTGACTCATTTTTTCTCTTGTCTTTATCTTTTGACWGACCTTTCTCTCCAGTGGGAAGCTGTTTTTGTGTTGGTTTTCCTGCTCATCAGGCCTGTTGGGCCTTAAACAAGGTCACTAGGCCTCATTCTTACYTTCTAGCATAGCTAGACTTTAACAAAACTGGACTGAAAATGTACTGTCCCTTTAAACAACATGACCAYAGATCAAGGGTTAGTCTTTTTGTCTTAAATTAATTCCCAGTTAACCAAAGCCCTGGACCCCTTTACACAGGTTGATGACTTTGCCCTCTACAATCAACCTGTTAGAAAATGGGTAGATCTTCACAAATTTGGAAAAAAACTTCATTGTGAAGGCAATCATGGTGCTGTTTTCCTTGTAACTGCCAAATTGGTTGTCYTTGCTATTTCTTGCATCCCTGTCCACATAGCAAAATGTGTCTACACAATGCACTAACATGCTTAATATTTGGCCCATATACTGCAAGGAATGACAGCCCTTGATGGTCCGGATGTGGTTTGCCAGAGTGGGCCATGTATGGGCAAGCACCACATAAACCAAAYCAAAACTGGKCCTGYTGTGGTGTCCCACCTTAAAACAGTGCCATCAATGCCAGACTTGGCCTACATCCCATGGACAAACCAAATACCATGCCAGCAGTCAGCTAACAGTGCCTGCTTGACACTAGGTCTGTCCCACACCTGTCTGCTCTRTAGGTAAATGGTCTCCTTCCGCTGCACCACTTGGTCAGTCATGGGGCCAACTTAAAACTCTCGATGCCCAAGATATGCCAGTGTGCATGGGCCCTATAGCAAAGATAAGATATGACCACTCTYCATTGCTCCACCAATAACCCCATCACAATGTCAATTCACCAGAACCTAGCTGCGCAATAAGTGTGCATGTCCAAAACTATCATGGACATGTCCCACCCTACTATCCCATTGTAAATGTACAACAGAAGATTTAGCCAAGACCCTTCAAAAACCRTCCATTATCCAGTTAAAGGGGGGGCCTAAGACTGGGATGTAATGAGGTGCCAAAATATGTCCAATGTGACACTAAAAGTAATGAAAACTTAAGAAAACAATAATTCACAGTTTGTCTCTGTTTCTCCTTTTTAATCCTTTCTYTCTGTGTGTGCTTACTCCTCCATGTCCATGTCCTCTCCTCCATAAACCGCCAGTCTCTAGCACCACTTGAAGGTGACGTGTACTATCTGGTATTGAGGCCTTTATGATTAGATTGTTTTTGTTTTTTCGTTCATGTGGTGTTTGTTCGATGCCGTCGAGATAAAAAAATCTTATAATGATAAGTATTATTGTTTTTGGCATTATGGTAAAAAAAAAAAAAAACGTGTTGTTGAATGTTGTACAG